GACATGGTGGTGATCAGGAGTAATAGTAATGGATTTACAAAGGAGAAATCATGCTTAACCAACATGATAGCCTTCTACAACAAAGTGACTCACTTGGTGCCTCTGGGGAGAGCAGTGGATGTTGTTTGCTTTGACCTTGGTAAGGCTTTTGAGCATGTCTTCCCTAACATCCTTATAGACAAGCTGACAGGGTATGGATTAGATAAGTGGGCAGTGAGATGGATTAAAAACTGTTTGAACGACCAGGCCCAGAGGGTTGTGATCAGTGGTATGAATCCTGTTGGAGGCCAGTCACTAATGACATACCCCAGGGGTCAATACTGGGGCTGGTACGGTTCCACATTTTCATCGGTGACCTGGATGATGATGCAGAGTACATCCTCAGAAAGTTTGTAGGTGATTAAAAAAAACCTGTGAGGAGTGGCTGATGAGCCAGTGTTGTGCTGCCATGGAGGAGGGACCTTGACAGGCTGGACAGTGAGGAATCTCATCATGATAAACACAGGGAGATCTAAGTCTTGTATCCGGGGATATCTGAGGGTAAATCCCTGCACCAGTACAGGCTGGGGGCTACCTGAGCTGGAAAGCATTTCTGCAGAGAAGACCTTGGGATCTTGGTGGACAATAAGCTGACCATGAGGCAGCAATGTGCTCTTGTGGTGAAGGTGGCCAACAGCATCTTGGGCTGCTTCAGGAAGAGCATTGCCAGTGAGTCGAGATCCTTCCCCTCTGCTTGGCAGAGGTGAGGACACATCTGCAGTGTTATGTGCACTTCTGGGCTCCCCAGTGCAAGAGAGGTGTGGACTTACTGGAGTGAGTCCAGCACAATCCACAAAGGTCATGAAGGTTCTGGAGCATCCTTCACATGAGGAGAGTCTGAGAAAGCTGGGGCTGTTCAGCCTGGAGAAGAGAAGGCTTGGTGGGATCTTATCAAGTGTATAAATACCTCATGGGAGCAAAGAACAAGGAGACAGATTTTACTCAGTAGTCCCCAGGGACAGGGCAAGAGACAGTGGGCACAAGAAAGTCAGTTTGAACATTGGGAAATACACTTTTGCTGTGGAGAGAGTCATGCTGGACAGTACTGTTTCATGGTATAGTTAGTGAAGTATGTTGGAAAACCAAACTCTGAGCCTTGCATCTGAACTAATTACCTAAAAATTAATTTCCAGCACAGCAGTTAATTGGAAAGATTAGCTTGAGGAAGTGGCTTTGGAAGAGCTCAGGCAGGTTTGCCTGTTCACAGAAGTGTAGTTTTTAACTCTGTAATTCTATCCCAGGCTTGTCAAAGCATCTTTTTCCTGAAGACTTTTGGTTTTTGTTTTTTTTTACAATGCAGGACATTTTCTTCAGAAACAATTTCTTTCCCTTGCAGGTTTCATCTGTTAAAAAAGAATCAGCATGTTTCCTGGTGGAGACTGCTGACTAGAACATCCGTTTTGTATCCCAGCAGATGACCTCTCTAAATTAATCGATCCCAGTTCTAATGAGGTGACCTGTTTAAAATAGCTCTCTGCCAGTGTGTGTTTTTATGTCTTTGAACTTTGAAGTGCATCCCTTCATGAGATTTCTAGAAATGATCTTTTGTTTTCTATTCAGATTGTTCTGAAAAATCCTGGTGCTTCAGGCCAGTATTGGGGACTGATCTTGATTAAAATGATTTTAAATATAAACCCCTTTTGATGCTTGTTTGTAAGTGGCTCAGTATTTGATTCCCAGGGTCAACACCCAAGCCAGGCCGTGCTCTTCATTCCCAGGAAGGACACTGCTCAGCTCAATAGCTTTTACATTATGCTCTGATCACACAGGAGCAGAGCAGATTGCTGCGTTCCTAGGTCAGTTTTGCAGTTACGTTTTACAGGAGGAGGGGGGAGATTGTCTGCTTCTGGTAATTCAGAAAAGCTGCCATTAAAGGATAATCACTCCACATAATCTTTTTCATTCTGCTGAATGCTTACACGTAGGATACTAGTAAACTGCATGCTATTTTTGTGAAATAAAAAGAATTAAAAACATGATTGGACTTTCGTGGCACTTTAAAGATGAACTAGCTTTGGATTTTGTGACTGTATGTCTGCTCACCCTGTGTTGTGCCTATGTGTGGGGTTTGGTTTGTTTCAAAGAAAATGTGTTAGTTAAAGAAATGTCTGTTTTATGTCCTCCTAAAAAGCAATTCAGTAGTTACCTAGAACAACTAATGAGGAGAGAAAGGTTGCTGCTTGCTGAAGATGACTGCTCTTCAGTTCCTGTGGCATAAACTGTAAACTGCTACTTTAAATTCTTTCTCTTGGAAAGTGAGAAAAGATGCAGGCAACTTCGGTCATTCACTGAAGGTCACCAGTGTTTTGGTAACTGTAATAGTAGAGTTGAGGGTTTTTTGGTGCCCTTGCACATGTCTTTTAAATAGGGGATAATTAAGGTAATTAAAATTCAGTCCTTACAATATGATATTAAACATGATTCTTCCTAATGTTGCATTGTACTTATCCTCCATGAGGAGCAGAAAGTCTTTGATTCACAACTTTCCTTGAGTGCCTAACCTGTTCCAGGGCTGCTCACCCTGACCCTGGAGATTTTGCAGGGTAGCAATAAGAGGCAGTTGATATTTTGTTAGTCACAGCTAAAAAGGCAGAGAAATCCTAGTACCTATTTTAGCAGGAAAGAAAGAAGGGTTTTCTGTGCCTGGGTGAATGTGCAATCTTCAGGAGAAAAAGAAAATTCTTACTATATGATTTAGTCTGCAAAGTTGTCAATGGGTAATTAGTTTGGTTTCTGATGCTATTAACAACTAAAGATTATGCAGCTGTTCTGTGTTCCCTTAAATGCATGTTACTTGCTAGCATGTTCTCGCTCTCTCTCACACTTGTGCACACTCGTGCCCCTTCCCCTCCCTCCTGGTGCACAGCCCATCGGGATATCCCCTGGGAGCAGCAGCATCATTTCCCTCTTGGAGCTGTGTGCATTTAAGCTCACTGATCTCAATGCCATGTGACTTGGAAATGCAAGGAGCAGATTGCCATCCGGTGCACACTCTCCAACCCGTAGGATAGCAAAAAAAAAAAAAAAAAAGAAAAAAAGAAATAGAGGGAGGAAAAAATGGAGTTGGGAGGGAACAACCGACGCTTCCTTCGCAAACAAACAGCTCCACCTAGCGACATTCCCTGCACAAACACACCAGGACACCTGGAAAGGCCTGGAATTAATCCTTCCTGCGAACAGAAGCAGCAGAGCTTAACTCGGTAGCTCAGTGCTCTCAATGAGGTCAAGCTGGATCAAAGGGAAACCTCCTGTGGAAGCATCTCCTGTAAGTTCTGATACTGCTTTTTCCACGCTCCCTCCAAATGAATTGTAGCCTGTACAACTGAGCCAGGCTTCGGTGCTTTATGCCTCCCCTGACTGATAATTTTGTGTGAGGTTGTCAGGTTTTATGTTAATTGAACTTGTCAGTAAGGCGTCAGTTGGATAATAATGCTGTGCATTTTGGGAGAGAAGGGCTTATCGTTCTTTCCTTTTATTTTCTGAGGGAGTGGGAAGAAGAAAGTGTGTTTTTTGTCCTTTTAAAAACCTCCAAGCTGTTGAGGTTACTGCTCACCAGATTCTGTTTTATGTAATCTACATATTCTACTTTCTAAATAAAGCAACTGTAAAGTGTCTCTTGAATGTCCTTGGGTTTCACCAAACAGCTGTGCTTTGGGGAATAGCTACCTAAACATTTATGTAATTTTTAAAAAAAAAGAAACAGAGAAGGAGAAAATACTTTATTCAAATCTTGGAAATATCTGTAGTAACTACATTTCAGAGGAACTGTCCTTACAGAGGCTGCAGTTCACCTGAAGGGTCTCTAATGGGATCATTCAGAAATACTTCTTTGAAACATAATTCTGACTGTCACCTGGTTTTAATGGAACTTCCCAGTTGCATAGAATTTAAAAGCGAGATGAAAGATTTCTCATTTTATGTAATGAACTAGCTGTTTCTGCAGAAATGCTGTTCAGCATGACAGAATGCTAACTTTTGCAGGGAGTGTTGTCTCATTTGCAGCATGGAATCCTTGGACAATAGTGAAATGCTGGGCTGTCATTTTTCAGCTACATAACCCAACTTTTATTTTTCATCCTCTAGAAGTACAAAAAGCTTACTTAAATACATATCTGGAAGGCTTGCAGAGTGGTTTCAGTGGATGGAACAAAGTAGCAACCACCTGTTCCCATTATTGTTAGTAATATATTGTAAACCCTGAGGAAAAATAAAATATCACAAGTCATTATCTCTTCCTGCTGTAAAGTTCCTCTTGAACGGGCTGGCTTGATGCCTCTCTCTTGATCTTCAGCTTGTATTTCTGGGAACTGAGCAGCATTGGCATTGTGCTGTGAAGGTGCAAATGTCATAAAGACTCATGGCATTGCTTTACCCCTCAAAATGTAATGTCTTTGGGTTTTTTTGCAAAGGTGTGTTCTTTAATTATAGTTGTCTTTTTATCTCCTTCAGGTAATAGTCGTGACTTTCTTAGATATCTAACTTGGAAGGTGGATAGAGAAAGGAAATAAAAGATAGTGTGAAATCAGGTCATGCAACTTCTATGTATGACGTATGAGTATTTGCCGAAGAGATTTATGAAACAAACTCTTGAAGACTCATTTTCAACTGTGTACTATTTAGTAAAAAGAAGACTTGTTACTTTAATATGCCCTGATTTTATCTGGCGTCACCGCAATATAAATATGAGAAGATAGTTAATATGATTTGATTTTTATCTGGCATGACTGCAATGAGAAGATACTGTGTAAATTAGCATCTGATGCTTGCTGCTCTCATTCTGAAGAAAAGATCAAAATGCTTTAGGAACCCATCACTGGGCTTTTGAATTTATTTTGAGTTTGTATCTTCTCTTGGTTTTAACAGAGGCTGTCTTTGGTTCCATTGAGGCAGCATTATTTTTAAACATATATAGTGGGGAAAACCCCCATACTGTATGATGATGATGTTTCTTTTCATTTCAGCATTCAGCTTCTGAGTTGATCCTAGTTGAAGATGAAATGACAGATACTGAAGATAATGAAGAGGAAGATTTAGGAGTCATGGATGATCAACGTAGTGTAATTCTTCATCTCATCTCTCAGCTCAAACTTGGCATGGACCTTACCAGGGTATGGACACTGTATCTCTTTTATATTTGTTCATTATTATTTCTCCTTCTCATCCTTCTGTGTGTATGTGTGTGTGTGTCTGATTCCTGTGAGCATGTTTTTGCCCCTATGGACTAGGAAGTTTACCTCTTTATTAAGGTGTGGTTCCAGAGAGCTGTGGAATGATGTCTCTTGCTAGGCAGGATTTCACATGGAGTCATCACATCAGATGCTTTAGAGATGGAGGGGGAGGGAAAGATAAAAGAAGAAAAAATCCTTCAAACTTCTTCCTTATTTTTTTGCAAGTCTTTCAAAGCAGCCATATGTTGTGTATGTATCCCATGTGTGTGTTCAGTCAGGGTGCACTGAGGGTTTGAGGAACAATAAGGACAGTTGTACAGATGAAGGAGATATATGCTCACTTTGCTGCTTTCTGGACTGGATTCCATTTAATTACATGTCGGCTTCAAAAAATATGGTGGTAAAGAAATAACAGCCTTCAGTGTATCACTGTTCTTGTCTAGGCTAAGCAGCTCAGCAGTTTAACCTTCTGTGCATTCTGCTGGTCCTGGAACCAGTACTGTCACGAGCTTATCCATTGTGATATGACCTGAGAGGGTACATTGAGAAATTTTCCCTGAAGTATTTCAGAGTTTTAGAAATGAGGTATATGTTCTGGTAGCAGGGTAAGCTGCTTTTTGAATGGTCCTGCATTCCAGTGAAACATTCTCATGGGGCTTAATAAATAGTTAAGTGGATTTTTGTAAGGATACGGAATATCCTTTCCTTCCGCAAGGGTTTTTTACTTAACACCCCCCCCCTGCAATGAAACTACTATAACCCACTTCCCATAAGAACTTGTTCTGACACACCCTCCACCAATAATACAATGTTTGGAATGATCATAGAATTGTCCTTGCATGTGAAGTAGCTTTGCAGGAAGTTGTTCTCATGGGCATTTTTTGATATTTCAAAGAGTTCATCTGCTTTCCTTTTGATCTTATATGTTAATAAAAATCTATTTTTACTATAACTTTGGATCAAAATCAGGTGTTCTCAATATAGTCTTTTCTGTTTCCTCTGGAACAATTGACAGTATTTAAAAATACTTGAATTTTTAAGACTGAGCAATCCCGTGCTCTGTTGCTAAGTATAGCTGTTGAATAGCTGCACAGGAATTAATGTTTTGTTCTAAATGGAACAAAAGTTTAATCATTTCATTTGTGAATAATTTATACCTGTCACTTCTTAGTATGTCTGGGGTTATATACAGTTCAGTTTTGGTTTTGTTTTTCTTACATTCCTCACTTTTTCTTAGCTCTTCCTCTTTTTTATGTTGGTTTGCTAAGGCTGTCTGAGTCTATAATGTTCAAACTAGAGTAAGATTTCTTGTGTCTTCAAAACATTTTGTCTTTGCTAACGAACAAGATTTTTCTTTCCTGATTTCCACTGTCATCTTTGTCACGGCAGAGAAGGCAAAACCCCGAGGACTCAGAGTTAATGTAAATAAGAGAAATTCCTGTAAATAAGAGAAGTGTAGACACTTATAAGAAAAGTAGGAAGGTAAATAAATAAATAAATAAATAAATGATAACCAATTTCTTACATAGTGCTTCTCAGACCACAGTTTTTAAAGATAGTGGTGTTATCAGATGCATAGTGTGGCAGAATATTAGCATGCATGAATGTCTATATATATATGAATGTATATAATACCCACACTCTGAAAAGAGAAACAGGCATATGGCAGAGTTAGATCTATCTGTAGTCTGTGTGATGCACGAATACACATATGATAAGTATTAATGAGACGTGCCACATGTGCACATCACTTTTCTGCCCATTTTGAGGATTAAAAAAAACAACAGGACAGCTGGCTGCTTTTTTTATCAACTTTGCTTACTGACATGAAGCCTTTAGGGCCACAGCCATGTGATGCTGAAGCTGGGTTTGTTGGCTGCACCTCTTCTCGTTTTTCATTATTCCTCTGAAGATCAGATCTCAGATCACCTTGATGCTCGTCAGCTGCTGCTGGAAGTGGTTGTGGCACAGTAGTTGCTAATATCAGAGCGTGTTTTGCATGTTTCCATTTTCCTTTGCCTGCTTCCCTAGGGTTGTTTCTTTTCATTTTGTGAGCCGTGGATTGTTACATGATATACACGCATGAACAAATAGCTTTTCTGAGCCTTTGGTGGCTTTGGGTTCTGAATGCATGATCATTACCTTTGTGTTCCATGTCAGAGGAAGCAGCATCTTTTCCTAGTGATCTTTTCCATGATGGCTCATGTTAGCCTTGGCCTTGCCAGTGCTGACAGCAGTTTCCCACAGTGATGAAAGGCACATTTAATGTTGCAGAGTTGCTTTGCTTCTGGAATGTGTCATGCTGCTGTGCCTCTTAATGAGGAGTTAAACAGTAAAAACTCCTGTGAAGGAAAACACCTGCAATGAAGTATTAAATCTGCATGGGGATTTGCTAGAACAGGCTGGACTCCGTGGTGGCCAAATAAACTTCACAGCTGCTAGCGGGAGTTGGGTGAGGGAGCAGTTCACAGCAGCAGGACGTAGTGGAAAACTGATGCCTCACGCTGGGCTAGGACTTTAAACCTCATTTAAAATTGGAATTGCTGGGGAAAAAAATAAGTCTGTAAGTTGTTTGTTCTTTAGACTTTGAAAAAACGAAGAAAAGCACTAAAATCCACTGACAGCCTGATAGATTTGTTGGCAAATGGCACCTAATGGATTGCAGTTAATGCTAACAGTTTGTACAGATGGGTTGATCACTCCCCTGCATTCCCTCACCTTCCCTACGCAGTTAATTTGTGCTAAAAATAAAGGGTTGCCATTCTGTGTAAAAGGGCTGCCAGTAATTCTGCAGAATATCAACCTGTTGTAAATTAACATTGCAGTACATTCACGATGTCATAAGTTTTCACTTTGCTTGCCAATATGCTTTTACCTGGTAATTTTAAAATATAAGTGGCATGAAAATGGCTTGTTTTATTCCCACAGTGACACAGATGACAGTGGAAAGCTTTTGTACCTCTAAGAGAACGATATCTCAGCATGAGGTGCCTTGGTTGGATTTCTGGAAGAATGTAGGGAACAGTGCTGACACCCATTTTTGCCTCACAGTAAACAGTACTGGGGATAAATATCTCTATTCTTAAGATGTGCTCTTATTTTTCTTAGTTGCATTCAGATCTAATGAAGTATAGGTGACTTCAAACCTAGGAGGTTGTAATCAAGTTTTGAACCAATATCATCTTTTTAACCTCAAAGAAAGTGGAAGAATGCCTCTTGAACTGCTTCCTTTTCACCTGAAGCCTGAGAAAGAATAAGAACAGAGATTATTCTAACATTTTAGAATGCAGTCAGGAGATTTATTTTTTATTTTGCTTCAGACTTCAGCAACTTGGTATTTATTCTAGAGAGTTTGTTTTGTCCAGTTGGTTGTCATGTTGTTTTGGTTGGTTGTTTTTTTTTTTTTCAGAGGAAAAAAATTAAGGCAGTTTTGACTTCTTATGCAATTGGAAAAAAAATTATTGTAGTCCAGTCCAAAGCCAGTATGAATAACAGAGGTCTTAAGTTCCTTTTTCTGGACAGTGCATTGTTTCTGACTGTAGAACAGCTGACAATCTCCTTCCTTTGGAAGCTCGAGTGCTAGCACAAGTGTGTGATGGTCCAATGCTGGCAAGAAGAGTGCTATATACTTCCAATTTTATTTATTTCTATTTTTCTTATTTATGCAGGAATCCAAAATAGAGTCAATTTTGTATATATTTTTTGACAGTATTAGTGTGTGGTGCTGTTGCATTTGGGAACTTTGAGGTGATGATATTATTTAGCAAAAGGCAATGTTTCGTAGGCATATTTTGTAATCCTGAAGTTGTGTAAGCTTTAGAATGCAAGTATTTTTCATGCGTAGTTCTGCCCCCGTGTGTGGAAACTATTCAGTTATTCAGTGGATCCTTTCCTGCTGCAGTTAAGGATGTATTTTCCAGTTTAGCCAGGCTTTTAAAGCAAGATACTTGAGCTGGAGTTCAGACTTTATTCAGATTTTAAATGGATTCTTGAAACTCCATAATAAGGGTCCAGTGATTTGTAACCTCTCATTCCATGGCCGTGTGGGTGTAGCTGTGTTAAGTATGTAGCTGTAAAGCACACAGCTAGGACTTGAGAGGCTAGGTATGAAGACTCTAGTCAACGGGATGAAGCCACAGCAATCTTAATGCTGTACCATAAAATTTACGTTGTCTTAAGTATGTTTTGCTGTTTTCTTCTCTGTTAGTGCTAATGAGGTCCCTGTCTTTAGAGAGAGACACTTGGACATAATGAGATGCAGAGTGGTGTTTATTCAGATGAGTTTGCCCTTTCAAGTCTCTGCAGTGAGCTCATGATAGGCACTACTGGTATTTCTAGACAGAAGTGATGGGGGTTTTTTGGTATGTTTTGGTGTCACTTGCCCCTCTGATCACTTGATCTTTTAGTGTACAATTTATATTAAAATGAGATCCTTAATTGAGGATCTCAGTTGCTGAATTGCGTTTTTTAAAGATTATATTGGATAATGAATATTTGGTCAGAATGAGAATGCTGCAAGTAAGATGGAAGGGTTTAAAGAGCTAAAAATAAGAAAATCAACTGCCTTTCTACTTTGCCTTCCAAAGTTTTGGATTTCGCTTTGAAAACCCAAACTTCTGAGCCCCTCTCTGTCACACCACCATGAGGACTGCTGACTGCCTTTAGCACTCAGTGATTTGCCACATGTAGTGTGAAATCATGGACCTCCATCTTTTGGGGCCTTATGAGGTTGATAGCTGAAGCCATGTAGAGTCCTCAAGGCTTACAGAGTAGGGTCAGAGGAGTATTACAGGTGGAATTTGTATCTAAACTTGTAAAAATTATTAGCCTATAAAAGTCTGTGTAAATAGAACACACAGAAGGAGAGAGTGAATGAGCAGGTATGTTCCCAAATGGAGCACTTAGCTTTTTTTTTGCAGTGGAGGTACAGGGACTTACTGTGCAGCTGTTAAGACTGGATTTGAGCCCTTGTGACTGGAATTTTTTTTCATGTTTACAAGTTCTCTTTGGAAAGAACTGAATGATTAATAAAAGTTTGACAGCTTCTATTTTGTTATCCATGGAATCCTGAAGGACTGAACTGTGCTTTGGTCCCACTTAGAATAGCAAGCCGGGACAGCAGGAGGGAAAGCAAACAAGTTTGTGACTCCAGGGTGGCTCCCTGCCTGCTGTAAATATTCCTTGCTTTTGGGAAAAGGAAAAAGTAAATGCAATGAAGAATTAAAGAGGAAAGCAGATGAATTGCTTTAATAGAGGACAGCTGTTGGTTTGCATCTGGCATCATTGAGCCACTTTTGATTTGTGCATGCCAGAAGTTCCTTTTGGTCATGTGGGAGCAACCTCTGAGCTCCCCTGGGATGATCCTGCACAAGGTGTGGAGCGTGAGGGAAAAGGAAGAGAAATAAATTATTTTATGTCCTGTAGCCCTTGTTTGTCTTGCAGTGCCCTCCAGGATCACTAAAAACTTGTAACAAAGTGTTATTGTGAAGCGAGTGACTTTGGCAGCATCTGCGTTGCTAGAGGAGGCACTCAAGACTGCATCCAAATCACTTGTGGCTGGCTCCCTCCAGGGCAGACTGCCTAGAGCTCAGTCACAGGTTGTTTATTCTGGGTCCCCTGCAGCCTCTTTAGTCCTAGGATATGAATTAACAGTTTGTGCAAGCATTGTTTCAGCTTGTGTGAAATGAGGTTAAGCATGCAGGGGCCCACCACAGTAGCATGGTACCATCTCAAACAGAGGGGATGTGCCATGGACCTGGGAGTGACAGGAGAGCTTGGGGTGGCAAGGGATTTGACTTGAGAGTTGTGAGGGGACATGACATATGATGACAGTGCAGGACCCAGGCAGTCAAACAGGGAGTGTTTTTTTTTTGCCTATAAGCCCCTGGAAAGGGGTCCTTGGAATGGTTTTATCCTTGGAAATACACTTGAGGTTTGGTTTTGGTTGCATCTCCTTGGTTTGGTTTGTTAGAGGCTGGAAAGGACCTAATACATATGTAGCGAGTAGTCAGGGGCCCAGGAGTGAAGTTATGGAACCCACGTTTGACACAATGGGTAGATGTACCCCTTATGCTCTCCACCACTTAGGGACTGGTGATGTGTATGTTTATGTAAAATACTCATCTTCTGGTGGTTTGGGAGGGTGTACCCCACCCGTTTTGGAAGGTTATGATTAGTTTGGCTTGTTAGTGTTTGATGTAAATTAGTTTATATCAGAGTATGCTTTTGTGTCCTGTAAACAAGGAAAACAATGGCTGGTTTGTTAACTGAGAGGAGAGGAAAAGGCAGATGTCCACGTGAGCGGAACAGCCCATCCCTGTCATGTGAGCTGCTCTTGAGAATGATAATGGAATAGGAAGCAGCCTGCATGGGTATCAAGGCCACTGCTTTTTCCTTCACTCGTTATTTACACTGCAAAGAAAATCCAATTGCTGTGGCAGTAGAGGCAAATACACTGTCCAAAAACTTGGCAGGGCCAGAATTGCAGCTGTCTTAACTGTTGTCCCCCACCCTCCCTTCCCTTCTGGTAGTGTGATCATGGGGAAATCATATCTGCCTTTGTCTGCTTTGCATACAGGTAGTGCTTCCAACATTTATTTTGGAGAAAAGATCCCTGCTGGAGATGTATGCAAATTTCATGGCCCATCCAGACCTGTTTTTGTCAATTGCAGCTGGAGCCACTCCCGAGGAAAGAATTATCTGCTTTGTGGAGTATTATCTAACAGCTTTTCACGAAGGCCGAAAGGGAGCAGTTGCCAAGAAGCCCTATAACCCTATAATTGGTGAAACGTTTCATTGCTCATGGGATGTGCCTAAAGATAAAGTGAAAGCATTCAGAACTAATGGTGCCTCCACGGTTTCTAAGGACCCAGCCAAGGAGTTTGGCCAGGAACAGTCCACGTGCTACAAGCTGAGGTTTGTAGCTGAACAAGTGTCCCATCATCCACCGGTATCTTGCTTTTACTGTGAGTGCAAAGAGAAGAAAATGTGTGTGAACGCTCACGTATGGACCAAAAGCAAGTTTATGGGCATGTCAATAGGTGTTTCTATGGTAGGTGAAGGTAAGAAATGTGCTTTTATTTTTTTATTTTTTTTTTGAGCTAATATTGTGGGTGTCAAACACAACAGAAATCCAGGTGTTTTCCTGCTTGATCTCCTTCTGACCTTTCATTTAAACCTTATGACTGTTTGCTTTTGTGAAGTTCGGAGTTAAAAACTGTAGGGTTCATGTAAGCTTTTTCTGGCCAGCCAGAATGTCAAATACACATTGCATGTATAAATGTGTGCTTATATTGATGAGAGTTTGTTAATATATATATATGGCTGTAATTAATATAGAAAATGGCTCCTGATAGTGTATTCTGTAAGAACATTTTTATTTGTCTTGTTCACTTTTAAATTAATTTGCAATTCAGTATTCACAGCTGGAACAAAGCCACTGTTTTTTACATAAGCCTAACATTCTTTTTTCATTGTTTTCTTGGTTTCTGTAGTGTTTATGAAAATAGTGTCTTTTCCCAAGATTTCTGTAAAATCATGTAGTAGAGGTATAAATCATGGTTTGCTATGTCATACACACAGTCTGCTTTGTGAGAAGTCATTGCTCAACACAAATTCAGAAATACAGGGAATCATAACATTCTTAATGGATGATCTGAACTGATAAACACACTTGTACCGGTGTCATTACTGACTGTTAATGTATGGACATTGATGTCTTTCTAAGCAATTTGATCCCTTTTTCATTTGAGGGTAAGATCCTGTGTACAGATTTTTAGTGTTTCTGTCTTAACTAGTTTTTAGGTTGTAGTCACAGAAGTGCAAAGACAACTTAGAGTAAATGCTTCTTTTTGTCACCATTATGGTAAATGCTGTGATATTGAAGGTAGTGAAAAAAGTAGAATGGGAAGTGCAGTGATTTGGTTTTGCTTATTAGCAACAAAACAATTATGATGAAAACATACAGGTATGTTCTGCTATTTCTACTAGTTAGAACTAAAGAACTAACTCAAACAGTAGAAGGACCTATAGCAGCTTCTTTCCTGATGGCAATACATTCCCTTTTTTTTTTTTTTTTTTTTTTTTGTAGAAGAGACATGAAACTTCCTTACTACTGGATTTGATATCATTGTGATAAAGTCTGTAATCTTTGTATGATTTAGGTATTCTGCTTTAAATACAGAGTTGAGGAAGTTGAGAAGGGAGTGTCAGAAGGGAAATTGGTCTTTCTGTCTGTCTCCTGCCTGTGCTACTGCCAGCCTGAGTCATTGGCTTCACTTGCTGCATTTTTCCGGAACATGTTCGTTTCTAGTATTTCTTTGCTCAGTGAAGGGAGCTATTTAATGGAAATAAAATTAAACGCAAAGTCACTTATGATTATGTAGGAGTAGGGAAATTTCTTTCTCTTGCTGCTAGCGCACACAGTTCCCTGGGATTGGGGGTGTCTACTGTGGGGATTATTTAAGACTTCAAAGTCCTGATGTGTCCCAATTTTGAGATGGAAAGGGTCTAAGAATTAACTGTTTCTCTACCCCAAGGATTGTTTAATGTGTGCTCATGGGAAAAAGTTCTTCTCTGTCTCCCTTTTCTTATTTTCATGATCCTGGAGATACCCCAGGAGTGGAGGCAGGCTTTGGGGAGCATCTGCAGTGGTGAACTCTTTTATTGCAAGGTTTGCTGCTGTCTTTATGATGGGCGTTCTGGGAGGAAGCTTGAGTTCACCAATTTATAGCTAGCATTCATCTTTCTGGTTCATGTCAGCAGTGCAGAAGCAGCTTCACAGTGACAGCGTTTCTGGGAAGTGGTGGAGAAACTCCAGGGCAGCCCAAGCATTTCTGATGTCTGTTTAGGACTGGCAATAGGCGGCAAGGATTTGTACCATTGAAGATTTTTGATACTCTGATAACAACCAGCCTAAGCCTGACAGCTTGGGTTTAAAATGCTTGGTTTGCAGCGCAGTTTATTCACTTGAAACTGCACTTTCTGTAATTTTTTTTGTTTATTTATTTTAGTCCCAGGGAAGTCTTCCCAATTAAGTTGGTGTGTAGATTAGTCGAGCTGTGCAAAAATTAGAATCTACTGCAGATGCTTCTTTCTCATGTGCTGCATAAGTATAAATTCTGTAGTAGATTGAGGTCAGCTGGAGTGCTAGGGAATAGATTGCTGAACCAAAAATGTAGCTGCTGGATTTTAAATGTGGAAAATATGTATCTGTATTAACATGTGTGGTAATGCAGGGCCTAATAATTTTTTTTAATGTGAAATATAATTTGGAGATTTTTTTCTTGTATTTAGGGACATTTTAGGGTTGCTGCATTTCAGATGGGGTTAGTCTAGCCAAGTTAGTGAGTTAGACTGTGGAAAGACACTTAGTCAGAAGGTCCATGAAGCTTGTTAAGGTAGGTAGAAACTAAAGTTAGCTACTTGAGAGAAGCTTTCCCACACCGAGGTTACCTGGTACGGTTGTAGAATCTTATTTTAAACTGTTGAAAGATTGTGAGTTTCTTGGGAATGAAGTATGACTGATCCTGCTCTTGGTAAGAGACAAAGTAACATCTCATGAATTATAGAAATACCTGGATTTTGTTTGCTGGGAGGTTTTTGCTGCTGTGCATTGGATAAGCAAACTAACCATGTGCTATTGTTGTTTTTTCTTTGTCTTGCCCCCCCTCTCCAAAGAGCATTCAGCCCTTTTTTTTTTTTTGCTTGGTGCTGGAGTTTACTTAGATGTAGGTGCCTTTGACTATTTGTTAGATCAGTAAGGATTTTAGCTTATGCATTATGTTACTTGAAAGACAGTTTTACTTGATATCTCTAGTATACCTGTGTTCATTTTCAGACTTGAGTGTTGGTGTAATAGTTTCATTATATTGCACATTCATTCAATACTAATTGATATTATGTAGGGGAAAAAGAATTCCTTGCAAACAGATCATTAGAGAGCTGCAATTAATGTTCTGGATAATTAAGTGGTAAGAAGTGACCATCTTGTTCTAGTCAGATAGGTATCAGAATGGTTTTGTTTGATAAGTTTGCCAGGAGAAGTTGTGGATACCTCATTGTGGAAGTGTTCAAGGCCAGACTGGATGGAACGGTGAGTAACCTGGTCTGGTGGAAGGTGTCCCTGCCCAGGGCAGTTAGAACTTAGAATGGCCTGGGTTGGAAGGGATCTCAAGATTCATCTATGATGATTCTGTGATGATGGCCTGAAACTTCATTGTTGCCTTAATGCTGAATACAAGCAACCGTGGTGTGATTTGCAACTTTGCTCTCCACTGAATAATTTTGTGTGTGTCCTTCAAACAGTTCTGTGAAGCTTTTTCTACTGCAGTTGGCTGTTTCTGGAATAATGTGGTACTGAGTTTTTGGATCTGTAGTGTGTAAGGTATATGCTGGTAAAGTTTCTGTGGTGGTTTCAAGTAGTATTTTTTTAGTATATCCTTAGATGTATAAAGCATGCTGCTTTTTATGCTTTGTTATTAGAAGCTAATATAGGATGTCATGGAAGTACAAAGGCTTCTATAAGAATTTAGGGATTTGAGGACAGTATGGTCCTGTCATACAAAGGGTACCTACAGCTCAGTAAAATTTTTTGTGTATGTTGCACCTCAAAGTAACTAAGATAATTTTTTTTCCCATCTTTGACTTTTGTTTGTTGATTCAAAGGAAGTATCAGTTTCAGAGATGCAGAGCAAGTAGGAGAACACTGCTGGAAATCCATGTGAGAAGCTGTTTTATATGCCAGCCCTTCTTCATCTCTGGTTATGAGGGGTCTAAATCTGGCTTGCTAATGAAATATCTCAGCTTTTTCTTCACTGTATAACAAACCCTCCATTCTTCAGAGTAGTCAGTGCTGAGTTTCCTCATGAGAAAGCTACCCTGAATAGAAAAGAGGGTATTTTGCATAAAAGGATTCATGTTGCATCCGCAGTCCCTAATTCTGGTTAATGTTAATTATGTACTAATGAGGGAGGGGGGGAAGAGGCTGTAATGAATAGGATCACATTAAGATTTAAATTAGCAAGGGATGGGAGAGTCAATGTAAATATTTAATGTTTTTTACGTGGCCCATTGAATCTTCAAACAGATACTGGTTGTAGGGTAAGGATGCTTTAGTGGAAACGACTGTGGTGAGCATACTTGGTGTGGTCTGTGGCCCTTCCTTTTCTGCTCTTGGGTTTTGTCCCAAAGCAGCAAAATCCAACAGAAGGTGTCATCTTTGATTCATGGGTTCATTTTGCAGAGAACATAAAGAACATTTAAGTGGATTGCTCTGTATTATCAAGTGGCTAGTTATGTCTGCTGTTTTCACTCCTGCTACTTTAAATGTTTTAAAAACTAGTGAGGTGTAGGCTTCCAAAAATTATTTTCTAAATTGAAATCAACCTTGAAAAGATTGGATGGGTAGGGAAGAGGTTCAGTGCTCTTTCCAGGGTAGATCTAAAAGAAAGCAATGAATGATTTTTTTTTTTCCCTTTTGTTCAAATATATGTATGTTTATGTATTAATAAATGTACAGGTCTACACTTTCTAGTCCTGAGAAATTAATGGCTTTTTAATTTACCAGTCCCAAAGGTTGTTTGCTCTGTGCAACTAGACCTACCTAAATATTTCCCTAAGTACTAATTTTTGTGTTAATAATTTTTTAGCCCAGTGGCTTCAGAACAGTTTCCATATAGCATGGCACTCATTACTTAATTTAGCAAATGGCTCCAGTCTTTGAAAAATGACAGTGCAATGCTGGTTGGAACACTTACGAGGCAGTAAGAGTCCAGTTCTGGCATCTCCTGTTTTCCTGGGTGAATCTAAGGGGTTGGTGTTGCATTACACCTGTGTGGGGCTCATCCCATATGGAAGTTACTCCTCTTTGTGCCATGTTACAAATAATGCAGAGTGAAGAGCCTCTTAAATTAGGAAACTGCCCTGAGCCGTTTGTGTCCCACGTACCATTTGCTGTTCAGATTGATCTCCATACAGTCAGTGGGGGAAGCATTAAATTTCACATGCCTCTTCTGCAGTTCATTGATCCAGAGCCTCCTCTGGGTTTTTTGTCAATATGTGTTACTGGAAAATCGATTCACAAAGCTGCAGCATCAGTGAGGGACGTGTAAGAGTCAAACTGGGAAAATTATATGCTGGAACCATCACTTCTTTACTGCAGGCTGAGGAGTCATGGAAAGGAGTGTGACTCTGAATACATTGCCTTAGTCAAAAGGAGGAGTAAATGGTGTTGAGGACATTTTCAGAGGGAATTTCAAAATTCTGGAAGTGTTTATTAAAAAAAAAATCACGTTTTTCTGTGGCATTTTTTTCTATTAAATTAGATTACTAAATCCACTGTTCCTCCCAGAGGTCAGGTGCATTCTTCTATGCATAATAGCTGCCTATAAGTTCTTCAGATTTCTTAAAAGGAATTTGCAGTTTTGGAAAGAATGCTTTGATGTGAGAGGGGAAAAATTGAAAACGGAAGACTCTAAAACTGAGAATGGGAGAATCTTCTACAACATTTCACATATTTTTGCTTACAGCCATTTTCAAACTAAACATGAATAATATAATCTCTTACAGCAGGGAAGCAAGGGAAGAAAAATAGTCTGTGTATTTTCCAGCAGATGCTTTAATAGATCGGTCTCAATGTAATGATGCTTATAAGCAGATGTTAAAATTACACAACACTTAAAAATAGCTATTAGGTTTTAGTTTTTCTCCTTTAGTTTCTCAAGATTGAAACTTGGCATGGTAGGCATGAGTTCAAATTGTGTTACTAGTTAGAAATGTTGACTCTCAGTGTGACTTCCTCTTCCCTAAGAGAGCACAGGTCTCTCTTCAGGCATGGGGGGGCAGCCACTGTCTTCACAGTGCTTCAGTTAAATGAGGTTTTGCATATGGATTCTGCAAATGATGGAATGCAAAACTAACAGCCAGGTTAATACTAAAAGTATTAGCAAGTTCTGGGTATTTTGGATCTGCCCTTTAATCTCTTTTAGATTATAATTATTGAACTGGAGTCATATGTCAAGTGAGATAGCACTTCATTAAAAATGTATTTATTCAGGTGTTTAAGGAATTCAAAAAAATATGCCACTAGGTGCTAAAAATATTGCCAAGAGAGCCGGGTTCAGTTTTTAATATCTAACCTGCTTTGGTGGTTAAATACTTACACTGAAGGTCACTGCTGCTGTTTGCTCTTCACTTAGTGTGCATTAGAGCTCTGCGTCCCTCCCACTCGAGTAGGGAAGAAAAGAGCTATTGATCCCACCAGAGAGACAAAAGCAAACCTGTACTAACCCAAAAGGAAATTGTGTTTATCATACCAGTTTGCTCTCACGTAACCTGTCCCAAAAGGAAATTATGTTTATCATACCAGTTTGCTCTCACGTGGGGACATCCAGTGATGGTCAGGAGAGGAATGGCTGGGCCAGGGAAGTAGGAGGCTCTGAAGAGCCAACGTGAAGGTGTGGTTGATAAATACAGTGAGGTTCTACCACGGTAGTGAGCACCACACCTGCCTGCTGCACTGCTGTTAGACCTTTGGGCGTCAAAAGGAAATTATGTTTATCATACCAGTTTGCTCTCACGTGGGGACATCCAGTGATGGTCAGGAGAGGAATGGCTGGGCCAGGGAAGTAGGAGGCTCTGAAGAGCCAACGTGAAGGTGTGGTTGATAAATACAGTGAGGTTCTACCACGGTAGTGAGCACCACACCTGCCTGCTGCACTGCTGTTAGACCTTTGGGCGTTTACAAAGAACCAAACACAAACCTCACAACAACAAAATCCCCTAAAATTGTCATGCTGGAGGCTGATGCTTTCATGCAGTCGGTCCTTTTTGACTGTGTGAGTGTCTGTGCTTACACCATTGAGACTGGGGAAATGTGACCTCATGGTGGCACCACAGGCCGTTTCCCACATGTCGGTTGCCTGTGACTGTAATGGAGAAGGTGGAAAACAAATGGGAAGAGGAGAAGAAAGGAAAGGTGACGAACTTGAATCTAAAACTTGTTGTAGCTGTATGGAAAATACCCACCTGCAGATGGGTAGGTTTAGATTTGACATTAGGAAAAAATTCTTTACTGTGAGGGTGGTGAGACACTGGAACAAGTTGCCCAGAGAAGCTGGGAATGCCCCATCTGTGGAAGTGTCCAAGGATGGAACTTTGAGCAGCCTGGTCTAGTGGAAGGTGTCCCTGCCCATGAAAGGTGGGGGTTGGAACTAGATGATCTTTAAATCCCTTCCAAACCAAATTGTTTTATGATTCTGTGATTTTATTTATCAAGTTAATGTTGTTATAGCATCCATTTAATGAGTTTGATAACCAGAGTTGTTTTTTGGGAGAAAGTTCTTCCTGGCTGCATGTCCAGGGTGAGTTGGATAGTTCAGCCTTCCTGTAGTGTGTCCAGCTTGGTTTTACCTGCAGATGTGGAGCTGAGGTAGCTTGAGGCAAAATGTATGTGTGTGTGTGTGTGTTCTAGCTCTGTCCTCCTGGCTGTTCCCTGCTGGTGAGGGTTCAGTGCATGACACAGGGAACTTGTAACTTGCCAGGGTGAAATGATTAAAGGTCCTTTTAAGACATGACTTTTCTGCGTTTGTGCTTTTGCACTCTGCAGCTCATCTCTGTCAGACTTGCTGGAGTAGAAGTGCTGGCTGTGTCGTTGCTGGCAGGCTGAGGTTGCAGAAGTTCTGAGAACAACTACATAGAATGATTCTGGTTTGCAAATGTTTTCCTGTGGAACAGTTTCAGAAGGCAGAAGTGATGAGATGCAGAGCTTCCTGTGCCTGCATTTAGTCCTGTTAGCTGGAGCCAGTATTTAAGACCATGGTTTTGTTAAAGCTCTGTGCTTTTAAATTTTGAATGTGATTTTAGGTTTGTGTTTTCATACAGCATTAAGGGCATATTTTGTATGTTGACAGTAGTAGTGTTGTGTTCCTATTTAGTGCTTTTTCATCATTTCGCATCGGATCACTTTGCAAAAGTAGTGTCATTAGTCCCTTAAGCAGACAGATTAATCAATACCACTACCAATGTGTTCTTCCCCTATCTGCCCCAGGGTGAAGGCAAATGGGCTCAAACTCATCTTGTTTCAAAACAGATACTATTACTAAGTGAAGATAACTTTTCTGTTCTTTTTTTTCAAATATTTCTGGTTTCTGAGTGCTTCCTGTGATGGGTTATTTTCAGTCCCTGTTGTGAAAAAATATTTTCAGTGCTGTCACTTTTGCCTTTAGGCAGTTAGTAAATGGGACACAAAAGACTGTAAAACTCTAATAAACAATACACTGCAGATATTTGGCATGATCTAATTCTGTGTGAAAGGTTTATGATGCTCTTTACTTGGTCTTATGTCCTGTCATCCCAGAGGCCAAACTACGGTTACGGTGAGGATAGAGTTGTATCCTTAACCCCAGGGAAAGCTAAGGTCTGATCAGACGTGCAGCTTTCTTTGTAGTTCCAAATAATGTTGAAAAACTGCTGCTGTCTGTTGTTGGTTTCAGTTACAAACTCATAGTGCTGAGAGTAGCAGAGCCTTTACAGAGTGAGAGAGAATTGCCAGTAATTTTCTCTGCCTGGTAGAGACATTGGTCTTGGTGGTGGTAGAGCTCTGGCCTTGCTGGGCCCCTCTTTGATTCTGCAAGACTGTTGCAAAGGCTGCATGGGAAATCAGGCATTTGGAAATTAAGGAGCAAAGGGAGGTTTTCCTAGTTGCACCCAGGCAGACCTAGAGAGAGCCTTTCATTCCCACCAACAAATGCATCAGTAGGAAAATAGTGGAGAGAATGTGATTGTGGCTGGCTGAAGGGAGAAGTGAAGTCCTTTGGCCATGCCCATATTTTTTCTGGAGAGAGATTATGATATGACACCGGGTGAGCATCTGAATATTCACTATTGTTATTTGCATGAAAATGTTACTTTTTTCCCTGGCTTTTAACAGTTTATTGCTTGCCAGTAATAGAAAGTGAAGTAATCCAGTCAGATTTTCTGATAAGGTGTTTGGCATCATGTGGGACTGCAGGGTACACATTCAGATTGTGTGCTTTTGAAAATGTTTGTTGGAAGAAATTTGTTCCTGAGGGCAGACTTTCTTTCTTAGCAGACAGTGCCCTCCTTCAAGGAGAGCTGCACATTGTACTCTCTGTGGGTTTGCATTTTGATGGTGGTAGTTGGTCAGTGACCATCAGGTCTTACCAGTGAATGTTTATCACTTCACTTTCAACATCTTCCTATGCAGGTGTTCTTTACTTGATGGAACATGAAGAGGAGTATGTTTTCACCCTGCCCAGTGCCTATGCTCGCTCGATACTTACCATCCCATGGGTGGAGCTTGGAGGGAAAGTCAACATCAATTGTGCCAGAACGGGCTATTCCGCTACGGTCACGTTCCACACCAAGCCCTTCTATGGAGGGAAGGTCCACAGGTACAGGAATTACTGTCTTATTCTTGCTTACCTGCTACTGGATTTCAATGGAAAGACTCTTGGGCATCTGTTCAGTTCTTCTGTTGGAATATTTTATAGATGTCTGAATTTCTTTTCTTATTAGTGTCAGAAATGACTTACAGCTTTAGGACACAGTTCATTGTAGCAAACATTTTCTGTTGTTTAACTGAATTGGATCTATTTTTCTCATTAAAACAAAGTGAATGTATAAAGTGACTGCACACTGGAACAGGTTGCCCAGAGAGATCCTGGAGTCTCCCTCATTGGAGATACTGAAGATCTGTCCGGATGCAATCCTGTGCCATGTGCTCTAGGTTGGACCAGATGACCCACTGTGGTCCCTTGCAACCTGATCAGTTCTATGACTCTGTGATTCTTCCAGGTTTTGTTGCTTGCAAAAATTGCTCTAAGTGCAGGATCTGAAAAATGCACATAGAAAAGGCAGTATTTCTGCTACACCAGTTACTGCTTCTGTGTGAGTCTTGTAGATGAACTGGTGTTCCAGGTGGAGCTCCTGTAAATAAGGAGAGAAGCAAAAGTGTTGCTGCCCATAGCAGTAGCTCCCTACTGGGTGCTCCCATTTCTGCACTGAAATTCCAGATGATGAAAATGTTGTTACATGCCTTTGTTTCCCCTTTATTAAGGGTGTGAAGAGGCACATGCCTTTGGTTCCCCTTTATTAAGGGTGTGAAGAGGCACTGTGCAAGACAACTTCTTGTCTTGCTTCCATGCTTAAGTTGATGTCCCAGTCGTTAACACACACAGAGCCCTTTCTTGGACTGTTGCAGTGTCTGTGACAAGGCTGTGCTTTTGCATGGTTACCTCTGTTTAATTTCAGTTGTTCCTGTGTCAACGATTTCAATGTTGTGTTCAGGCAAATATCCATGTGGGCTGTTTTGAGAGTTTTTTTCTCTAAAAGGTGTAGGTTAATAATTGGTGCCATGAAGGTGAGTGAAAATTTGGTAAAGTAGTGCTGTATTAGTTTATTAATTTAAAAAAAACTGAATTGAGTTTGCAGGTTACTTGACATGGCTTGGTGAAGCACATGTGCATGTTCACAGAGACACAAAAACACAAGAAAGTTGTCCCTGCATTTTGATTTTCCACCCTACATATCTGTTTTTCTCACTCTCAGACCAGTTCTTGGACCACTGAGGTAGCTTTAATCATTGTCTCTCAGCAGCTTGAGAAGTAAACTTGCAGAGCTAAAGGATCAAATAAAGGTACCTGAAGTCTTGAGACATTGGTCTCTGACAGCATTATATACAGGTGTGAAAATAATGTGTAGTGGAAATGTCACATGAATGTCAGGAGTTGTTTTTGAGGCTGCTGAAATAACCAGCTCTGGGTTAGAGTGTTGAGTATCAGTTTTAGTTGGGTTGCTGCTGTACTTGGGGGAATGTCATGCCAAAGCTATCGCTGTGTTAGGCTCGACCCAGGAGAGCTCTTCTTTCTCTTTTGGAGACAGTGTCACTACTCTGCTTGAAAAATTGCTTTGTGGAGGTAGAAAGCTGCTTGTAGCCTTAGCTGTGGTAGTGCTTTCTGATAACAAATGGTACCAGTTATTTCTCTGGTCTTTTTTTCCTTCCCTCTTGAAACAGAGTTACAGCTGAAGTGAAACACAATCCCACGAACACCATTGTGTGCAAGGCCCAGGGAGAATGGAATGGTACACTGGAATTTACTTACAGCAACGGAGACACCAAAGTGATTGACACTAACAAGCTGCCTGTTATCAGGAAAAAGATCAGGCCCATAGCAAAGCAAGGCCCACTGGAGTCCAGGTAAGGGCAGAGGTGTTAGTGTTCTGCTTAACCTTGGATGGGAACAGGGCAGGGAAGCAAACTGCAGTTATAAATGCTGTGGTTCAAAAATGCCTCACTTCCTGCAGCGCATTAATCTGGGCACAAAGAGCTGAAGCTGTGTCTTGCTTCCTTGGAACATAAATTAGGTTGTAGTGATGAGTACATCCATTTTGTAGAGGGGGAAGATGCTTGTATGTGTTTTAATGAGCGGCCTGAAAATGGTAATGCAGTTTTCACCTGCTCCTTTGAGTGATACCAACGTGGTAGGCAAATTAGTCAGTTTGTTGCAAGTAATGTTGCATCGTATAATTTAAACTGGGATTTCATGTTTTATGTATTCTAGAATATATAAAAGTATGTAAAATGTGATGCAATGTGAGATATAAGTGTACACACACATGGTTTTAAGGCTCTTGACACCTACATCATGTGCCTAACTCTGACTAGGTACATTAGGAAAAAACAACTGTCCTGTTATTCACTGTCAATAACTGTTGATGTTTATCTTCAGACAAATCAATACTTATATTGAATTTAGGAACATTTTATTGGATGATTAAAAAACATGAGTTGGAGTTCATTTTATTATCTGTAAATATCTTCTCTTTATTGCACAAAGGTGTCTTGAATCATTGTGCAGGGTCAGATAAAATGTTTGTACTTTCTAGACTGAGTGCTCATCCACAAACTCATTTTCCCCCTGCAGTTTGGAACACAAGGGTTGTAGTAAATAAGGAAACCAGTAGCTCTTCAATGTATTTATTGTATTTTTTAGACACTAGTAAGCAAATTGCAACCATCCAGTGTCTCTGCAGGATATGGAGTTTATCAGATTGTAAACAGAAACTCAGTTAAACAGTCCTGGAAATGTGTGAAAGCTGTGGTTGGTTTCAGCCTGGAAAAGGGAAGGCTCTGGGGTGACCTAATTGGGGCCTTCTGGTACCTGAAGCCTACTAGAAGGATGGAGAGAGAATATTTACAAGAGCATGTAGTGACAGGACAAGGGGTGATGGCTTCAAACTGAAAGAGAGTGGGTTTAGATTAGATGTTAGGAAGAAATTCTTTACTCTGAGGGTGGTGAGACACTGGAACAGGTAGCTCAGAGAAGCTGTGGGTGCCTCATCCCTGGAAGTGTTCAAGGCAAAGTTGGATGAGGCTCTGAGCAACCTGGTCTAGTGGAAGTTGTTCCTGCCCATCCCATGGCAGGGGAGCTAGATGATCTTTAGAGGTCCTTTTCAACCAAACCATTCTGTGATGATTCTATGTTTCTTCTCAGTGTTTTTCTGGGCAGAGTTTCTGCTAGGCTGATATAAGGCATTGTATCTGAGTATGATCAGTGTGAAGAACATTTGGCTATGTACTGGTAGCTATTCTAACTGGGAACAGAGCACAGACCCAGAAGGGCTCCCTGGAATCAGTGCATCAATTCCTGTTTTCAACCAAACCATTCTGTGATGATTCTATGTTTCTTCTCAGTGTTTTTCTGGGCAGAGTTTCTGCTAGGCTGATATAAGGCATTGTATCTGAGTATGATCAGTGTGAAGAACATTTGGCTATGTACTGGTAGCTATTCTAACTGGGAACAGAGCACAGACCCAGAAGGGCTCCCTGGAATCAGTGCATCAATTCCTGTTAGTGACCTGGTGGGAACAGTCAGGTGTCCCACTTTAATGCACTCTTGGCTTTTGACTGACACTCCCTTCTAATTAAAAAATGTACCTGCAAATAAAGGCAGAATAGGAGGTGTCATTTGGGGGTGGATCTTCAGTAAGGAATGTGGACTGGAAAGGATAAAAATAAATCCGCCTGCTTTGAGAGAAGAGCTCAGGTGGTGCAGAGTCAGGAACATGATCAGATGCTGCTGAGAAAATAAACTTGCGTGGCAAAATACTGAAAATCTGCTCCACAAGCTTGATGAGTATCTTTGGAGAGTGATGGTTCCTAGGCTGTGTGACTTGCAGAAATGGCACGGGGAGTAGGGCAGCAGCTGGGCTGGTGTCCAGCAGCGCTTGGCTGCGGCAGAGTTCTGCTCACCCTGTCACTTGTGCTCTTCCTGCATCCCACAGGCGCCTTTGGCAGCACGTCACCAGCTCCCTGAAGGAAGGCAATATCGATGCAGCCACGGAACACAAGCACCGCCTCGAAGAGAGGCAGCGAGCAGAGGAGAGGCAGCGAGCGGCGCTCACAACACCGTGGAAACCCAAGTATTTTGCCAAAGAGGTACTTTGGGTCTCTTGTTTTAGAGACCCTTTTGCTTGTTTCTGCATACAGGAGGATGCTAGCACAGGTGAATGCCTGTGGGTTTTACTATGGGCTGGTCTTGTTAGTTATCACAATTGCTTTTAATCCTCTTTTTGTCAGAGTCTGGCTCTGGCAGGAGAGGAGTGGATTTTTCCATGTCTATACTGTCAGCTTCTTCATTTTTCATCAGATTTATTTTGATCTGGATTTTTGGTACCTTATATTAGGCACCTAAAGTCATGTTTTTCTCCTGTAAAATCCAGCCCTTACTGTGCAAATGCTGCATACTCACATCCCCTACTAATCTGGATCTCACCATACTAAAGTGACCACAACGTAGGGATATATGTCCGATATAAGTAAGCATGGACATCTTAAACATACTCTTGGGTTTCATCTGTCTGAAATGAAACAGATTTTACTAGGTTTGTCTTTCCCTTTCTTCAGGGAAAGGAGGAGGGGAAATAAGACTAACTGAGGGACTTGCTGTTACCTTAGCCTGTATGTACAGCTGTTTAAACCAGCAGTTCTTCTGTTGCATCTTCCCGTTGCTTCTCTTGCCCCTTGCAATTTTTTCCTCCCACCCAGATTACTTGTCAATTCATCAAACACATTACTTTCAGTTGACAGGGGTGGCTTTTTGTTGTTTGGTCTTATTTGAGCTTTTATGTGGACATACACAGATCCAGTGTTTATAAATCTTGTTTGTAAACTCTCCTCAATTTTCTTGCAGGGCGATGGTTGGCTGTATTTGAATCCTCTCTGGAAGACCCATTGATGGGATAGAGCAGTTGCCTTAAAGGCATTAAAATGATACAGTATGTAACTTCAGGATGTCCTTGCATAGGTCCTGTTGTGAGAAGATCCCCACGGGAAGCTATGTACTGTGAATGATGCATCTCAAAGTAACCACGAGCTCGAGTTTATTCAGGAGCCCTTTTGTGTGTACAGACACACAGACACACACGCACACGTCCGTATCTGCACACATATGTACACACAGTGTGTATGTGTTTGTGTGTGTATTATTTACACTACATGTAAACAAGTATAAACACTAACAGCGATTCAAAGACCTTTTCCTCTAAGTGTTATAGGGCACAGAGCTCCAGCTGGACTCAGCTGGGGTTCCCCGAGTTATGTGCTTGCAGGATCAGGCCCTATGCTAGTATTTAAGAAAACACTTTTTTATTAGTACTGGTTAAGGTTTTTCTATTTTTCACTTTTGCCAAAAATGTTTTGCACTTAAAATGTGACGTGTCACTTCATGGCAGTTGTTCTGTCTGAACAGTCACCGAGTAACTCACTTTGACATAAGAATGATACCCTGACCGCGCGCTCGCTCTCCGGGATGCTGATTTAAGGGCATGTTTCCTGTCACCAGGGTGAATTTCCTGCCATCCTATAAGAAGTAGCAATACCTTCTCAAGAGCATTTTTTCGCACTAACCTGTTTTGTGTCCTCACTTTTTTTGTTCGCTCACACTTCAGCTGTTTTAATGGATCTCTGGTCACCCCTGAGCCAGCTGCTCAGGCAGTTTTGATCTTGCTGTGTAACCTTCTCTGGCTACTGTCATGCCAACACTTCTGGCTTACGTGTTCTGCTAAAGCCTTTCTGGCAGATGGAGCAGTGGTTTTCCAGCTCACTCTTGCCTCAGCTTTCCACCCACCGTGGCTCACCGCTGGGCTCTGCTGGGGGTGTCCCACCACAGCCTTTGCCTTTCCAGTGAAGCCACTGCTGATGTGCTTGGGCTGTGTGTTGTGGTGAGTGAGGATGAGCAGGAGCCCTGTCCTGGGGTGTCACTGTGCTGGGTGAGCCTTCCCCACTGGCCCAGAGGCAGGTTCTGTACACTGCTCTGGGAAAATGGAGCTGTTCTGCTCAGAGCCTTTAATCCATGTTAGGGCTCCAAGCAGCTCTGTGTTTTGGTTTTAGAGCCTTTAATCCATGGTAAGGCTCCAAGCAGCTCTGTGTTTTGGTTTCTTTTGGCTTTTGACCCAGGTGAAATATTTGGATGAGTAGAGATTCATATAGCTAGCCTTCTCAGGCAAATGATTTTCTAATGTAAAAGTAACAATTTAGTAAATTACTACACTGAGAAAATAACTTCATAATGAAACAAATGGGATATAATTTGGTTTATAGAGTAAAAAAGAAGGTAAAAAGTCCTATAGCTTGATCTTGCTTTGTAAGGTAACCACTGTGACACTGAGAAAGAGGATTTTAGAAGTGTGTTAAGGCTTTGCTGCTTTTTAGTTCGTATTTGTTGAGAGTGAAGATGTTTTTGAGAGAGGTGGCAGCAAAAGGTAAATGTAAAATGTGCTGACTTCTGCTCAGTGCTGCTTTCCACAGTGCCCCGTAAAGAAACCACTGCACTCTAACACACTGTAGCATGGATGCCTACCTGTCTGTAGTACTGATTAATTTTGTGCCTTTTGTCTGCTTTCTTAATACACTTATGCTTTATAGATATTACACAGAGATATTTAGGTCAAAGCACTGCCTACATCTGTCCTCGTGCGTCCTGCGTTTTGGTTATTTGGTAGGTGTTAGTATCTCTTGAGCAACTGAAAAGGCTGAGCAGAGGTGTGTACACAAGGAAACATGCCATTAGTTGTTCCTCTGGACATAATATTTAATAGATCTTTACATTTGAATTTCAGATCTCTATTTAATGAAGATGTGGCTCCTTTTTCCTCCTAAATGCTATTTTGTCTGCTTGTCTGTCCTTTTTTTTTTTCCACATTAGAAAGATTCATGTTTTAAATGATTTAAATCCTATTTTTTAAGAAAAGTGGACTGTATGACCTTGGTTTTGTAACTGACACTTTTTTTTTTAAAAGGAAAAAAAAATCTTATTTTTAGGAATAGTTGATGTAATAGTTTTCTGTAACAAAACCAAAATGATGCTGTTGTAGTATCACTGAATTGCTACCAAGTGTCATCAGGAATATGTGTACTCCATCACCTGCAAGAATTCACTTCATAACAGATCCACTCTTGTTCTAGAGGCTAGTCCGATAAGTACCTAGAAGTGTTCCTACAGTTTGTACTATCATCACAAAGAACAGTTGAAAAAGCAGAATGAAACACATGGAACATCCTCCCAGAACTCCTTCACACACCAAAGAACAAGACACATACTCACTAGGAATAGCCATTGCAAACCTCTCTGTGTCAGGCATGCAAGTCTGTGCCCCTGAGGGAGTAGACCTTTCAGCTTTGCTGGTGTGACTGTTGAGGCTACAGCAATGCTGTAGCCATTCTTGTAAGGAGAAGTTTGAGTAATTTTTCTGCTTGTAACTTACTGAAGATTTTTTCTGTCTGCATGGTTGGTTGTTTCTGCATGCCAAGAACATTCCACTTGTGCTCTGATCAATGCTTTGTTTCATTCTGATGCTGTGAAGAATCCCCTGATGCCATTACCACTGTTTCTTTCCCAAAGTCACTTGGGAGACACAAACATAAAAGCAGTCCTTTCTGAAAAGATTCCATCAGCGAGAGATTCCAGAACAAGATTCACAAGTGTCATTTTATTTTTCTGATAGTTGTGTGTTGGGTATATTTTACAGGACTGAAAAGTAAATATTCATAAGCCTTATTCTGTAGGTTGTTCCAATAGGTGTCTTGGACTTGCAAGTAAATACTTTCCTTTTCAAGTAGCCAATGTACACTGAATTGTAATGTAAAAACCTCCATGTACTTCAGTTTTTTTTTTGTGTGCACACCTGTAGAAAGCCTATGCAACCTTTTTCTTTCTTAAATTAGAAATGTTCAGAAACAAAAATTTATACCTTTATCATTTAAAAGATGCTCTGGCAGTTTCTTCTGATTTGCCTTCCTTTCATAATTTGTGAATTTAAAATGAGAATGCTCATGAATAAAAGATTTGTTTCATTTAGTAGTGGGATACCCTTTCTCTTTCCATGGAAGCATTAGTTACCTGGTGTCAGTTACTGAGCTGCCCAGAAGCTGTGTATGACACTCAGGCACCTGTGAGCCTGGTTCTGATCCGAGCGATTTGCCAGCTGAGTCCTGGTTTGTTGTGAGGGTTTTCTGCCCTGTCCATTCTGCCAGACACGCTGTAGGTAAGTTCTTGTTTAAATTGGACAGCTCTACCCAGGGAAAAGGGAGCTGGGCAACATCATAGCTTTAGGGGAGGTTGGGGAACATGTGCCTTATTTTGACAAATAAAAAGCAAGTAGTTCAAGGCATTCTCGTTTCTGAAAATCACATTTCATTTAATCTTAATCACTAACAGAGACTCTTCGTTAGGTACCTCTTAAAACACAACTCTGAATTATTGCAGCATTGCGCACTTGAATGGGGAGGAATGGCATGCTGAGAGGCTTCATGGATCCTGCTCAGCATATTTCAAGGGTTAGATAATGCCCTTCTGCTTTTCTTTAAACATTCATCCACAGTTTGGAAATGATTGTGCCAGAACACTTTGTTTCTATGCAAACTGGAAAACAACACTGGCTCTAAATAGGGCTAGAAACACTACCCAGTCATGGCCGTTGCTTTCTGTGCCATTACCTCGAGGCCATGGCTTGGAGCAGTTGATACACTTGGTTTAAGGACATGACAGAGTTTTGGTCACAGCCAAATGTGATATTCTTTGTTTTTTACTCATAGTGGGATTGATATGTAGAGGGATCAGTCGCTGCATTCAACTGTTTTGGTTTTTTTTTTCAGGACTAAACCTATCAAGATATTTAATTAATGACTTTTTCCCCCCTCTGTTATGAAATTACTACTACAAGTCAAAATACTTGTTCTGGGATTACCAGCAGCACTGTCTGCCTCACTGCTCTCAACAGGAGTGATTAAGAGATACAGAATTTATGCAATCCTGGCTCCCAGGCACTTGCAGGTTTAGTTCCTTATCAGCTGAAGACCAGGGCTTAAGCCTTTTTTTACTTCAGATTTTACTGTTCTTTGGCAATTGTGCTTCATAATGGGACCTAGTAGCACAAGAAAAGGATGGCTGCAGCTAAGGAAATAAACTAGTACGGGAGGCATGGAATGATGATGCAAGATCTGAGTAGTCTTTGCTGGTACAAGTGCTGTTCAGTTCTCTAAGAGAAAAGGTAGAAGTTAGTTCAGCTGTGTAATTCCAGGATGCAGGTGTAACCTGCATGGTGTACAGGTTTCCTGAGGAACCACAGAAGGTGAGCCCATGCCTGTCAGTTCTTTGTAATAATGTTTTTCCTAAGTAAGTGGCTCCCACAGTCACTCTGACTTCTCATTTCATTTTAACTGCAGAAGCCTCAAATTCAAGTTAAGATTTCAGACAGCCTGGGTAGGGCCCAGGCTGGCTGGGACTCCTGCAGTTAGCTTATTTTTATTTCACATACCTGGGAGTCACTTATTTCTGTGTTAAAGAGAACTCTGTCAGCTAAGGTGGAAAACAAGCCGATGGAACCATAAAAATCCCTGAAGAGGGGAGGGCAACCTTGTATTTCATTTTTTAAAACAAGGCTGAGTTACTGCTGAGTCGCAGACTGACTGGCAGTATGTGCTCTGTTGCTTTTCAGGTGTTCTTCCAACTGTTAGATGCCTTATTTCTTACCAGTGGTGAGGGGGCATGATGCAGATTTGCTTGGAAGCAGCAAGATACTCCAAATCATCCATCACATAAACCACCCCTTCTGCTGGTGGGTAAGCAGCTGTAACAGCTTGAGCTTCTCCAGCTGCTGGAAGGATTTCCTGCAACATGTGTGGTTGGAAAGAGGGCTGTGTTCCCTGAAAATATGAGAGCTGCCTTCATTTCATCACAGCAGAGGCCCTAGATTTGGCTTCATAAGTTTAAGCAAGCTGGGGAGGGA